GGTGTGAAAAGAAACACAAAAACACAAAAATAGGGAGCCCAAAAAAATTATTTGCTATAGAACGTTTAAAAGAAAACTGGACTCTTTTGCGCCTTCCTTCCTTCGCCTGTTCACTACGATGCATACGCAGAATCGGTGCACGTCAGCCGAATCCACATCGCCTATTGGGTAAGAGCCTACCTCACCAGCACCGCGATCGTAAACAATAAATAGCCGGCGAATGTTTCCTAAAAGTTTTGTTAAATAATATTCAGATCCACATTTTGTAGCATAATTAGAGATGTGTGGCGAAAATTGCCAAATTTGATAATGCTGAGAGCCAAGCGCCATCTATCGTGTGGTAAACGAAGCAACTACTGCGCGTGCGCAGTAGGGCAGGGCCGCCAGTTACTTGGGTGACGGCGACCGACGAACATTTATTTTCTTTGTTTTCCTTCCTCTCAGAACTCTGACTGACTGAACGTTTATTTTTCTACGTGTTCTTCCCGCGCGTGCCGACTTCAAGCAGCAAGAAAACAGTACTTAAAACAGACCACGACGAACAAGAACGCTGGATTCACCGACTCCGACGAAGCGTATAGGCCTAGCAGGCATTCCGACTCGGCGCTGCGTTGCTTCGTCGGAAGACCGTCTGCCTACGACCGGCTGGCGTGCTAAATGGAATATGCCCGCGCGACCCTTGTGGACCCTTCCCGTATTATAGTTTGATCACTGTCCTCAATTCTAGATTAAGAGGTGAGGAGGTCAATCTCTTCCCCTTGTTTTCCGAGGCAGTGTTGACGAACACTCGTCGAAAAGGGACTCTCGTCGATTCTATCTTCTTGTTTTGTGTGATATAGAGCTGAAATAAACGCCGTATGGATTGCCTTCGTAACACGGTATGTACACTTTGTTATTGGTATGCCATTTTTATTCTGACAGACTGCACGTCACTGTCGACCCCGGTCCAACCTTTCTTTGCCGAGTGTCGCGTCAGTATCGAGTTGCAATCGTAAAAGAACGGTCCCGAAGCGCTTACCAACAGCGCGAATACAAGACTTCCATCAAGCGCGCGCGTCCGCTCCGAGTGTAAACAGGTATTTACGTGGCTCTTGCTGACACTCGTAGTTCAAACGTATCTTTTTTAACGTCGGCTCGCTCCTGCATCTCCGAGGCCGCGAAAAACGCCATCTACGTCGCTTTGCAAACGACTGACACGGGCCGGCCCTTCTGCCAACAATGACGGGGTGGTGACAAGACTCGCTGCACTTCCCAACAGGCATAACGGCGTATGGGACTAGTCCCATGCTGTCGCTGTAGCGCAACGTATCTCATTGAATTTCGCTCAGCTGCGATGCGGCGATGAGAGGCGCCGATTCAGGAAATACGTCGGTGACATCAGCGCAGTAAAACCTACCGGCGCACCCCAACTCGTTGCCGCTAACACTCCCATTCTCCTACTGCCGAGAGAACTTCCGGTTCCGGAAACGGTTACGTCACGGCTTCTTTTGCGGTCAGTTGGAGAGAATGAAAAAGTCGATATTTCAATAATTTTTTGTGTAAAAGTTAATAAACCGAGACGAAAACGGATGCCTGTTCGGCATTCAGTGAACATTGACGGTTTAATGTAAAAGTTATCTGGAAAAAGTAAAAAGGTCATTTCATGGTCCCTTTAATGGTCATACAGGAAGTGTGTGCAGACATGTTCCAAGAGTATGTATGTGCGAAGCAACGTGCTTAAAGCGCGTTTTCTCGTCGATCGTAAGGCACGAGATTTGCGTTTCTAGCCGCTTAGTTTGTGTGCCCCACCCAGCGCGAACTGAGCAGGCGCCCGCCGGGGCCCGCCATCCGCAGTGTATGATGTACGGAAAGCCCTTCTTTGCCAGCGGTTGCAAAGCACGAGAAAGAACGGCGCGCTGAATATCGAAGTGCATGCCGGAATGCGGAAAACTAACAGGACGAGTGACATTTAGTGATGTTGCCAACTTTCCGTGAGTGCTGCCCGAATTGTACACAAAAGAAACAACAAAAAGAAACATTTGTAATAAATATTTTATGCAAGAGTTTATGTATTTCACACCGTGCAAATAAAAACATTTCGCTTTAGCCATTTAGTTTGTTAATGAAAAGCAATAGACGCAATAAATATTGGACCTTTGTTCCGCCTAGCCCTCGAACCCTTGGTCAAACTCGAACCTTTGGAAGTTCGCGACACCACCACAGCCCTCGGCGCTCTGTGGCCGCCGCGCTCGATTCAACCTCGACCTCGGCCTCTCGCACCGTCTGATCTCTCTCTCTCTCTCTCTCTCTCTCGCGCACGCGCTCTCTCTTTTTCTCTCTTGTCTCGTTGTTGAGGTTCTCGCCTCAGGATGGCGCCACCGGTATCTTTCAGTCGTCGCTCAGTCGACATGATCGCTTCATTTTACGCACAGCGTGAAACGAAGACGTTCAACACGGTTGGAGTGAACAAACGATCGGCGGTGTTTCCCTTTGTCCCTCAAACTGAAACGCTGCTATCCAAACTATGCCCCGGTTCACACTAAAGGTGCATTCACACTGGCGTTCGAATCGCAACCGCCAAGCGGTTCTGCTCGTTTTCATCGTCAAACGCGCGTGAAACGCAACCGCTTTGGGAACGCGATTGCCTTGTGTAGTCCGAGAACAGCCGACGCTCCGATGGACCCAATCAAGCAGCGCCGTGCGAAGACTACACTAGGGAGTTTTCGTCAACCGTTTTCCTCTTTCCGCTAAGCTATCCGCAACGAAAAGACCGCTAGAGCGCCTGCGCGCCGCTAGCCTCGACGGAAGAAACCCGGATCTCGTAGCGGGTTGCGGAGAGCGTTGCGGGACGGCGGAAACGATCTACAAAAGCTCCCTATCGTGACGTGACGTAACGATTAGCGCTTCACGCTAAAGCTAGCGGAGAACCTGCGACGTCACGCGACACGGACGTCACACGCGTGTGATGTCACGTTGCCGGTTAAAGTTACGTGACGTCATAATTTTCCCTCTAAATTTAGAGGAGAAACGCTTTACGTGACGTCGCAGTGTTACGTGCCACTGGGATCCCCGCTAACACGAAAAACAACTGTCGTAAAAAAAATGTTTTCGGCAGTACTCTGGCCATACTCGGCAAAATCGTCAACTACGCAGAACGCTCCTGGGTCGGTAAACCTCGGTGTACTCGTCTATGTACCCGATATACCGCGACTTCCGACGAGAACGCGACAGACTGTAACGGATAAAAAGCATTTCCGATTGGTCGATTTCTCGCTCTCCTCAAGGACCAAACTGCCACCCCTGGGGTCCGAAGGGAAGCCGGAGACCGGTGGTAAAGAGATGCTATAGAATGTGCGCGTACGTGATCAATGCATCCGAGAGCCCATCAGAAAGAAACGCACCGACGTACTCCGTGATGGAAGCTTCCTTCGTGTCTCGAACGACCGGACACGCATCGGAGGGAAACGGCACGGTCTGAAAACGCGCCGGCATCGCGCAGCGCCGCCTCGAAATGGGCGACACGAGCGCATGCGATCGTCACGACGCGACCCGTCACGTTTCTCGACGAACGGCGCGGTGGCGACAATGCCCGCCCCTGTGCCCGTGTCGATGATGGTCCGCTGGACAGCAGAGAAAAAAGCTATTCGAGCCCCTGGAGTCATTTAGGCTCTAAAGCACCCGCGCGGAATGCAATGCCAATGTCCCCCATCGTCTCTGAACATGGCATAATGTGGATACTGCATTCACAGCGTGAGGGAATAGACTTCATTGAATCTCAAAACATCCAGAGACGATTCTACAACCCCATTACTACAATCAAAAACCATTACAAAACCCTGACAGAGTGAAAAAAAAAAAAAAGATGTACAGATTTATGTGCGTAGTGATTGTATACAATTTTATCGTTACTGCCTTTACCTATAGGCAAAAATATTATCAAGAAACCATTTCCCGCAAACTTTCCCTCGCAGCTCGATGACTGCCAATTAATTTTGAAACGTTGCTAAAGTTTCAGCTTTGTCGCAGTTCCTAAATTCGAGAACGTATGATCGTTCAATGATTGAGGGTTGATGAATGAAAAGCATGGTCAAAATTGCGCACAAATTGAATTTTAACCATATTCAATCATTACCAGCTCGCCCAACTCACCACTTTACTATAGAATGAAAAACAGTCTATAGCCTGGAAGTCTAAATACGCTCAAATACTACAGTGACTTTACACTGACGGCATAGGAATAGCCAGAGGGGGAGGGGTTTATGGCTGTTCAGTTACCCCCGCTCCCCTCCCCGAAAGCTGGCGCCCTTCTTCACGGATGGCCGATATAGCGCCCAGTGCAGTTGGAATGGTATACTGTTGTCTAGCAAAGTAACGCTCCAAAGTTTGCTCATTTATCAAAAGCAGCTTCAGTAGACCGTTTTCATATTCACAATAGTCCAGCAGGCATTTGTGACAGTTGTGACATAAATACAATTATAACGTATTAAAACTAAAAGCTTTAGTAAGTTAGGGCTCTTTTTCTTCGCACCTAGCTAACATCCTTCTGAACTACTTATGGTAGGTCACATATCGTAGTACTCGCTACTTATACCGCCAAAAGACAGCGCACCTTTCCACAAACAACTCTTCCTGAAAAACAACATCGAATTCGAGCGCAGCTCTTGAAAAGGAGGAGGGAAGGGTACTGAGGGGAGGGTATACCCGTCCTCCCTCATCTTCACCTCGTAATTCTGCCTGCGGCTCCTCCTCCCCATCCTTCTCCTCCTCCTCTTCTCATCCTTCAACATCCTCCCCTCGTCTCCTCCTCCCCCTCCTCCTCAAGGGGGGGGAGGTCACGTGACCTCGAGGAGGGGGGTCACGTGACCTGGGGGGGGGGGCACGTGACCTGGCGGTGGGGTCACGTGACCTCGGGGGGGGGGGGGGGGGGTCACGTGATTTTACGGTTACGCCGACGGCGACGCCGCTCAAGCCGGAAACGGGCGCCTAAGAGCTGCGCTCTAAAAAGTTAATAAGGGACTTACCGAAGGAAGAGACTCTAACTCGCATCCAGAAGTTCCGTTGCAACCGTTGGCCATGTCCTTAGGAGATTCAGAACTTCCGTTGCACATTCCACCAGCAAGTCCACCGAAGGCGTCCCCATTGGCACAGGTCGGCTCAGTGGGCGACCGCACCGCCACTTTCGCCTCAATCAGCTGGGGCGAGAAGGCCCGTGTCTTCGCTGGCGACGAAGCCATTCGAACCACAATGCCTCCTCCGTCGTCGCAAGAAGACGGAGACTTGATCCAAGTTACCAGGTCCGGCTGTTCCACGGAGGCAGTCCTGCTGATGGCACCCGATGAAGAGTTTTCGTCCCTCTCCTCGATGTCCGACATCCACATCTTGGTCGGCACCGAATTAGGCTGCTCCCACGCTGCGGCTGACTGCGTCTGCGAAACGGCCACGTTACGACGCTTATGGTGAGGAGACCTCGTCGGTGAAAACCCGACCTGGTGCTGCGCGGAAGAGCCATTGACGATCCTGGACGACCTCGGCGTGGCCGGGCACTCGCCGTCCACCCGCGTAAGACCAGTTACAACGTCGACGGAGTTAGACTTTCGGAGGGGCGATCGGTTCACTTCGTTCGACTGTGCATCCCTCCGGTCGTCCACGGAGAGGGAGCGCATCGTTACCACCACCTTGCCGTTTGTTGCCCTGCCCATGTACGGACTCCTAGCTTCCGGACCTACTGGGACGACCCTCGGACCGCTATGGTGCCCGTTGACGCTCTCGTGGACGGGTGAGACTACCGCCGGTTCGTCGCTGGTGTCCCTTCGCAGGCTGTCAAACCACGTGTCGGCTGCAGCCGCACCCATTCTAGACAGCGGTTCGTTCAGTCGGCTCGGGAGCTTGGACTCGGCGTAGCTCGCGAGCTCATTCAGCAGCATGGCCGATTCGCGGCTCGTGTTGCCCACCCAACGGGACAGCGGGGAACCCATGGCGTTAGGCTTGGGTGTGTTCGCCTGATGAGTGATGTCCCGGTCCTTGAACATACCGGGAGGAGAAATGCATGCATCGATGAGCAAGTTTTCTTCGCTGCGCTCTCCCTTTGGCGGCTGCGCTGGTTCCGGTGGCTGTCTCCAGGGGGACAGTGGTAGCACGTCGGCCGGGCGAACGTCCTTCCTCGGGACTGAAAGGGGAGGGCTTGAGCAGGCAACCGAGGTCGGTTTCGAGTGCTGAGACGAACTGTGGACTGGAGTCCCTTGGCAAGACGAGGCGCCCGGCTGACGGTGTTGTACGTGGTGCCTGGGGACGACCACCAGCTTCGATTCGGGCAGCGCAAGCTCAGCAACCGGTTGGCGAAAGCTCTCCGGAATGGGAGCTCTTCTGCCCGATGGGGGCACGACAGGAGGAGGCACGTCCCGGAGAATGCACTTTTTGGACGAACCACGAAACGAGGCGTCAGCCGTCCTCGCCCCATTAGTGGTAGACGTGACCGACATCACGTTCGAGGACGAGACAGTCGAGGGGTTCGGTGGCTCCGCGAACCTAACCCCGGTCCTCGCGCAAGGTTTGCTCTGTCCCCTCTCATCGGACATCTTGGCGCGAGACCTCGGCAGCACCATCTGCGACGCCTTGGGCCCAGTGGACCAGCGATGAATGGTTGCATTCCTGATGACTGGAATGGTCATGGGTTTCACGGGCATCTTCTCGGAAACGGAAGCCGACTTACGGAACGAGGGCGGCTGAACATGAGCGTTACCGTGGACGCTCGAAGAAATGGACCTGGCAGGGTGCCTGGTCGTTGGCATCACCGAAGCCGGTGGATTCTGGAGTTGCTGCGACTGCGGGCACACCTCCACAACTACGTTGGGGTAAGCGACACTTCCTTGGAGCCGATTTTCTGGCCTTTTGGCTACACGCGGCTTAGGAATACCCGACTCAATCGTAGCAGGCACTGCCCCAGCTGAGGACACAATCCTGACCTGTCGCCCGCTTCCGTCTGTCGGTTGCACAGAAAAGACAACGGCCGCTTCCCGTTGCTTGGGCCTAGATGCAGCCTGCAGGTCTACTTGAATGATCCTCTGCTCGCAATGCGTAGATGGTTCAGCAACGTCTGGTCTCTGTTGTCGCCTTACGAGAGGCGACCCGTCAGCCCGCAAAGGGTTTCGGCTGACGTCCGCCACGACGTCATAAGTCACTGCCGACGTCGCTGGACGCCCTGTTGCCGCAGCCTCGCGGGCGACTGCGACGTCGTGGACCGCCGGCAACCGGGACCACGCATGACCTGACGCCCGGAGTTCCGCCTGGACGGTACCGTGATCGCCGGCACAGGCGCGTGCGACGGCCTCTTCACCGTGCTCAGCGAGGTCCTCGTGGTTTCCCGTTCCAGGAGGGCACCTCCGTGGGCTGTGGGCGTTGCACTCGCAACGTGTTGACACCGTCGCCTGCGGAAAAAAAAGTCTAAGTGAGTTACTTTCGCCATTATTTAGTGATAAAATGACGGAGTGCCTTTTCAAATTACGAAAACCATTTGCTATCGTGTTCTCACGCACAACATAACTCCCAACAATGCGATGTCCACGACCCGGCAACACATATTACAAAAGCCCTGCGCGGATGGTGGCTTCGCTGTCTATATCAGACCCGCACCCGCACTGTTTCCACGTTCAAAACATATCCGAATGCTGCATCCATTAGTTGTACCTGCTTCCGATCTGCAATCCACATAGGTTTCTCGTTGGTTTGTTTCCACATTTGAAGCATGAACACGTTTGGTTCCCGTGTGCTTCCGCGAAGTGCACCTTCACAACGCTACCGATCTCGTGTCTTCAAGTTTCGCAACGTCAATGAAAAAAAAAAAATCATATAAGCCCGAGTGATACCTAAACAAACGAACGTGCATCGTTCTTCGAGAGAGGAGGCAACTGCATAGTTGGAAGACTGTATTCTGCTGACATAATCGGTACATCATTGGGGACCTGCAATCAATTCTCACAAGGTAAGTAAGAACCATGAACTTTGAGTACAAGGAGGAAATGTTTCAATAATTCCACGCTCCCTCTAACTTCCGGCAAGGCGGTCCCAACCGAAAGAAACGCGAACGACGGAGCGACAAACTCTCTCTCTCTCTCTCGCCGCGCCACTCTATGGTCTTATGTGGAAGCTCTTGCGCAGCCTGCGGTGCGCTTCGAGAGTAGTGAAGGTGACCGGCCCTTTCACTAAACAGAAATTCGGCTGGTTTTTTTAGCTTTCCACAACATGAGATGCAAGCTGCCAACACTTCACAGTGCTGGCGATGCGGCACGCGGGCATTTCGAATGCATCGTGATGAAATACAAAAATAATCTTTACCAGTTACACATTAGTATGTGAATCATGATGACACTGCAATATCAATATAAGAATTATATTTTTTTTTTATATATGACATTATGCGCCACATTGTCAGTTTTTCCATTACCGCCGAAGCCGGTGGAATTCTGAAGCAAATGGGCTCGAATTTCCTTTTCCAATAGGGCTGGTCACTTGGCGCCGTCACTATACTCTCGAAACGGATCACAGGCTGCCCGAGAGCTTCGACTGACGATCGTTGAAGGACGCGGTGAGGGCGGAAGGCTGTCGTTTCGTCGCTCGGGAATGCGCGTCGATGTCTTACCGGCTGTCCAGTCTTGTGATGGTGCCCCGCAAAGTCATCCGTGCAGGGCGGCGCAGCGGGCGGCGCGGCGGTCGCCTGGGCCCCGGTCAAGGGCAGCGGGTTGCCGGGCGTCGAGGGCCGCTGCCTGTAGGTGCCGAAGACCAGGTGCTCGATGTTGGTGTACCCGGGGTCCAGGCGGAGGTCGACGGCTTTCTTGGAGCCCGGCTTCTTGCGGACCTTGATGTTGTCGGCGAGGCGCAGCAGGCGGTTCCGGTTGCGGGCGATGCTCTCCAGCGTCGCCTGGTCAACCGCCTGTGCCGACGACGACATGCCGACCGCCGTCAGGCTCGCCTGCAGGAAAGAAAAGAACGGGCGTGATGTCAGACGCTAATGCGGGAGTGCACCGGGCTTTAGTGAAAGCCTCGCCGATACTAAAGTAGTATAGCACACTTCCACAACGTAATGTTGTGGTAAGTTCCACAGGCGTCATTCACCAGCGCCATTCCGTTCGTTTTCCACCGCAGATAACTTTTTGGGCATGGTTAAAGCGAAACAGTGTTGGAACTAACGCGTTACCAGTAACGACGTTACAACTTACTCGTAATGCGTGAGTTTTTTCACTAACGGACTAACGTACTCGTTAGAATGCAAATTGACTATACTAGCTAAGTAATGTCGTTATTATTTTACGGTATCTCCTATAAAATTACGTTACCCGCTACTCGTTACCTTTCCTCGTTTCTCGTTACGTAAAAGGGGCAAAGAAACCCCAACGCAAAGCTATATATAGGCGGCGTCCTTTCAAACTCCTTCGGAAGACACTTTTAACGTTCCCACGACTGAGCCCATAAGGCGCGAGATTATCGCTGCGCGAAAGCCCTTAGCGTCCTTGGTGCAGTCTTGGTATAGAAGCTGTTAAGATCACCGTCGCCATACCCTGAGCAGCCGTCTCGCTACAAAGAGACATCGGTTCAGAAGGCAATAGTCTGCCGCCGCTCGAAGGATTTTGCGTCAGCGTCCATAGATACTCCAGCTGGTCACATCCGCTTCTCTTCAAAACAAATAAATTCTCGTTCTGTCAACACCAGAAAGGATAAACTCTAAGTTTGGAAGCGTTGACGTTCCCACGCTTGGGACAAAAACAAGTGCGACAGCGGTGGCCGGGTGCCGACGTGTCGTTAATTGGTAATGCGACGTTGGTTTGTAAAGGAGTAAAATAACGTTTATTTTACCGGACCAACTTTGATTATATAAAGAGGTCTATTCTGCGTCCATTACGTGACGCGCATCCGGTCGTTCTTTTCAGAGCGGTTTCTCCTTCCCAGGCAGAGGCTCTGGGTAAGGTTCAGTTCTCCGAATCGCGCTCGCGAAGCGTCAGGTGTTCGAGGATGTACAGTGCTCGTCAAACTTATACGGAACACTTGTGGAATATTGAATGAAGAAAAGAGACAAAATATTAGGGAACTGCGCATATTTATGTGGACTGAAGGTATGCTTCTGTCCTAGTGCGACACTTAGAGGAAATAGCTCAGTGTTAGCGCCAGCTATTCACGCATACATAGAAAAAAAATAGAACAAGCCAAGAATAGGCTTGGCATGTGTTCCACATAAGTTTGCTGAGCACTTTGCATTATACAGCCTGCCAAGGCCGGGCAAACAAGCTGGGCCAGCTGACAAGTGGCAAGGTTATCGCAGCATTGAACGGCGACCGTCACCCGATATAAACAGCTGTCATACACTAACAGTGAAACACTAAGTTACGACAAACAAACGCAAAAGTAACGCCCGTTATTCATGGCAAATAACGACACCGGTATTTCGTTACATTTGCAAAAAGGTAACGGAGCTCTGTAACGAGCACAGCGCTGAAGCGAAACCTAGATCTAATTTGGCTCTCTCGAAGCGAGCTAAGATGGCACTAGCAGATGTTCACTTTCTAACGCGAGCGTGGAACGGGTTTGTCCGCTACGAAGTGTCATTCACGGGGGAAAAAATAACGAAGAACATTACGCGTCCCCTGGCAACGAAACCGAAGCAAAGGGTCAACTTCCCCGCAGTATAGTGGCGAGGACGTATTGCTACTAGATGTTACACAGATGAGCCAGAGCCGTGCATTTGATCAATGGAGGCGCGGGCAGAGCCAGGGCGTGCACCAGACGCAGAAAGAGGGCTTGGTATGCTCTCATGACCAACTAGAGGCCGAAAAGAATCCCCTAGCGGTGGTAGCGAGAAATAGATGTGGTCGCTTTAATAAGCGCGTAAGAGTTAAATGTAGTAACCCTTTATGGTTGAAAATAGGGTGCAGGTGATGTTTCGACCATGATTATGCAGAACGATGTAAGAAACGAATGCGCCGCTCAACTCTGTTTTGCTCGCACAGAGTGTGACCGCTCGGAAGGCAAATTCCCGGCCCTCGGCGCACGGATTATGTCGATCGCTCTGCTAGTCGCACTCTTCCACCATCATTCTGGATGAGCGTGATTGAAACATCACGTGCACCATATTTTCAGGCACCGAGCGTTACTCCGATACACTAATCAGGTTTGTTTCTCGCGACCACCGCCAGGGTATTATTTCCGGCTCCTGATTGGTCCCATTCTAATCTGTGAAGACGCCCTGGAACACGCCCAGCCCGCTTTCGGCCAATAGCGCCTCCTCATGTGTCCCCTATACTCCCAACGAATGGCCAAACTCTCTACATATACGGCTCTGAGATGGGCCGAATAACCATTCGGTGTCCCGACCGCGCGAAAATCGTCGCGCGTGGAAGAAACCCCTGCCAAAGCGCCCAGGATGGAACGCGAAGTTCGTGCCCCAGCAGCTTCGGCCCTCATATCGCGCCTTGCCGTTTCTTGGAATGCACGTGCTTCTTCTCTTGAGCCTCACTTCCTGCTCACTCTCCACTATGCTCACCACCAGCTACGCAACAATGCCGTAGTGCTGGAACTTCTAGGTCACGGGCCGCGAGACGAAGGCCGGGCACGAGCGCTGCTGCGTTCGCATTCGGCTGGAATTTGCATTCACCCAGCGAGGGCACGCGTTGCAGCCCGAAGCTTCCACAGCACTTGTGTTTTGTAAATTTTCGTGTAACGCTCATCCGTTATAGAAAGCACAAAAAAAAATGTTAGGAGCCACCCATATTTATAACACATTTTCCGTTAAAAAATATACGCTTCAGCGTGACACAGCACTCGTGTTTTGTAAATTTTCGTGCAACGCTCATCCGTTATAAAAAGCCCACAAAACAAAATGTTAGGAACCAACCATATTTATTACACATTCTCCTCTTAATAAAAAAAAAAAACAAAAAAAAAACGCTTTAGCGTTACCAACTGGCTCTGAAATAAGATGTGTGAACGCGTGGTACTGCGGAAATTTGCTCGGGTCTCCCGCTTTTACTATGCAGTGGACACTGTCGGTCGTCAAACACTAACTCTCAATTCCGTTGTTTTTTTTGTTTTTTTTTGTCGTCGTGCAGAAAAAAACGTGGTGTTTACTGCAGACAGGATGACTAGAAGTATCTGCGGAGAGACCTCCAGCATATTCTAAGCATTTTTGCTTCGTACATGCTTCAAAATCGCCTGCAGACAGTTTTTATGTGACCCTTGTGGCGGGGCCGTCATACAAGGACGCCCCAGACACAACCTGCACACTGTCTTTTGTATGATGTATTCGCAGTGTGACCGCGGCTGAAGGTTGCCCTTTTTGGCCACCAGCCGCGCTGACTCACGCCCCGTTGCGGGTTAAGAAAAGCAAGTTCAAGACCCTCCCCTCCTTCCACTTTTGCGGAGCGAGCGTTGGAGAGGAGGCGAACTCCTCCTCGTCGCCTCCTTTCCAGCCTCTGCTAAAGTGGAGACAGAGAGTGGAAGAGGAGTTTGTCCGGCTAATACATGGGTTGCGCTGACGTCACATCGCATACTTTTGACCGCCATGTAAGAGGAGGAGAGGGAAGCTGCTTTTGTAAGTATTGTGAGTGACGCGTTAACCTTTTATAATCTTCGAGGGGAAAATACCGACGTCTGTGCAAATCCGGCCAGGCACAAAAGAGGATCCTGATAAGATGGGAGCTCCTTCTTCCCCTCTTCTCTGGTGGTCATCGGAGCACTCTTTGAGTGACGTCACATGCAACCCAACCGATGCGCCTCCTGTTCACCGCCCTGGGGCTATGACGCGCTTCGTCGGGTACGAGCGCTCTGTCAAGGGTCAGAACGACGGTCGCACAAAGAGGCCCTCGTCCGTCACTCAAAAGAACGACGGGAGGCTCCAGTCAACGGTCCTTTGCCAACAACCGAGTCGACGAGGCTCGAAAGCCTTCTCGGGGCAGCTTGTCAAGCCTGGACAAAAGAGCGGTACTTATTCTTTCGTGGGTCGCTGGACAAATGACGTCACTCGACGTCCCGACCAAGGTGCGAAAGCGAACCAGCGCGGTCTACCGAGGCGCGGTCGGTGCTGAGCTCTATTTTCCAAAGCGCCAGTTTCACCCAGTGATATCGTTGTTACAACGGCGTATAGAACTGTTGCAGTGGCGACGTCGACAGCCGCGTCGCGGGCGTGCCCAAGGAAAAACTAAGACCGGAAAGCGTCTCATGCTGGCTCCGTGTGGGGCTACATTTGCATCCATTTTAGCAAAAAGGTTACGTGCATAGGTTTTGTGTGCTGTGATTGAAGTTACGTTTTAGTTATCAATCGATAAAATCGAAAAGACTGGGGAGGGGCCCGCTAAATACTTCTAACAAGCAAAGACAGCGCGATTATTTTTCAACATACTCGAGGCAACCCTACTGGTAAAACTGGGGTCCACCGCACGAAAAAGTAAACAGCAAGAATAAGGATATTCACCAAAAAATAATTTTATAGGAGGTGTTTAGTAACTCTGCAGAGCAACCGATAGTAGAAAACGGAACGAAGCCTCGGTACGGATAACTTTGTCTTCACTACAACCGTTTGGTTGCACAAGGTGTGTTGCTCCCCGCAGACAAACACACTCCAACTGGATCGCCAAATTGTGTTTGGAAAGAAACAAACTAACAACACGACGCCAAAAAAGTAAACAAGAGGTTGTGGGATCTACTTTTTAGGGTGATTCATCATTCACATTTAAAGGGTACTTGGCACGGGATATAATAACCTTGAGAACACATTGTTTATTTTAGGTTTCATTCCGTTTAAGATCGACACGCTCGAATCTAATTAAGCAAAAATAGTGGGGGAAATAAACTGCAATCCTCACGTGAGTGTGGTATTATACCGTGCAAAGTGCTTCCTATTAGAATCTGCCGAGTCAAACAATCTATGTGTGGCATTTCTTCCGGAAGAAGTGGGCACTGGAAGCCTAGACCGGTGCTG